TGGCACGATTGGGGTGTGTACGTAAGGAAGAAACGTGTGGGTGGTTTGGGTAAGTACGTGAAGAAGGGATGTAAATACCTGATGAAAGTTACAAAGTGAATTGACTGAAATTCAAAAATTAATAATTACTAATCTAATGTATTGTATGTAACACAATTAAAAACTTCAGTTAAATTTTGAAATCTTTGTAATTCTTTTATGTGTAAACAGGGTGAGTGAAATGTGTGGCACGATTGGGGTGTGTACGTAAGGAAGAAACGTGTGGGTGGTTTGGGTAAGTACGTGAAGAAGGGATGTAAATACCTGATGAAAGTTACAAAGTGAATTGACTGAAATTCAAAAATTAATAATTACTAATCTAATGTATTGTATGTAACACAATTAAAAACTTCAGTTAAATTTTGAAATCTTTGTAATTCTTTTATGTGTAAACAGGGTGAGTGAAATGTGTGGCACGATTGGGGTGTGTACGTAAGGAAGAAACGTGTGGGTGGTTTGGGTAAGTACGTGAAGAAGGGATGTAAATACCTGATGAAAGTTACAAAGTGAATTGACTGAAATTCAAAAATTAATAATTACTAATCTAATGTATTGTATGTAACACAATTAAAAACTTCAGTTAAATTTTGAAATCTTTGTAATTCTTTTATGTGTAAACAGGGTGAGTGAAATGTGTGGCACGATTGGGGTGTGTACGTAAGGAAGAAACGTGTGGGTGGTTTGGGTAAGTACGTGAAGAAGGGATGTAAATACCTGATGAAAGTTACAAAGTGAATTGACTGAAATTCAAAAATTAATAATTACTAATCTAATGTATTGTATGTAACACAATTAAAAACTTCAGTTAAATTTTGAAATCTTTGTAATTCTTTTATGTGTAAACAGGGTGAGTGAAATGTGTGGCACGATTGGGGTGTGTACGTAAGGAAGAAACGTGTGGGTGGTTTGGGTAAGTACGTGAAGAAGGGATGTAAATACCTGATGAAAGTTACAAAGTGAATTGACTGAAATTCAAAAATTAATAATTACTAATCTAATGTATTGTATGTAACACAATTAAAAACTTCAGTTAAATTTTGAAATCTTTGTAATTCTTTTATGTGTAAACAGGGTGAGTGAAATGTGTGGCACGATTGGGGTGTGTACGTAAGGAAGAAACGTGTGGGTGGTTTGGGTAAGTACGTGAAGAAGGGATGTAAATACCTGATGAAAGTTACAAAGTGAATTGACTGAAATTCAAAAATTAATAATTACTAATCTAATGTATTGTATGTAACACAATTAAAAACTTCAGTTAAATTTTGAAATCTTTGTAATTCTTTTATGTGTAAACAGGGTGAGTGAAATGTGTGGCACGATTGGGGTGTGTACGTAAGGAAGAAACGTGTGGGTGGTTTGGGTAAGTACGTGAAGAAGGGATGTAAATACCTGATGAAAGTTACAAAGTGAATTGACTGAAATTCAAAAATTAATAATTACTAATCTAATGTATTGTATGTAACACAATTAAAAACTTCAGTTAAATTTTGAAATCTTTGTAATTCTTTTATGTGTAAACAGGGTGAGTGAAATGTGTGGCACGATTGGGGTGTGTACGTAAGGAAGAAACGTGTGGGTGGTTTGGGTAAGTACGTGAAGAAGGGATGTAAATACCTGATGAAAGTTACAAAGTGAATTGACTGAAATTCAAAAATTAATAATTACTAATCTAATGTATTGTAACACAATTAAAAACTTCTTCAGTTAAATTTTGAAATCTTTGTAATTCTTTTATGTGTAAACAGGGTGAGTGAAGTGTGTGGCACGATTGGGGTGTGTACGTAAGGAAGAAACGTGTGGGTGGTTTGGGTAAGTACGTGAAGAAGGGATGTAAATACCTGATGAAAGTTACAATGTGAATTGACTAAAATTCAAAAATTAATAAATACTAATTTAATGTATTGTAATACAAGGTGTGTATGCTAATAAGATGTGTAATGTTGAAACGTGTTAATTACAAAAGGTATTCGCGGTACCACTGCACATGTACCCTCCCCTCGTAACCACCCCATTCGCACCACGTTCATTGCCTTGCAGTTTTCACACAAAAGCCACATGTCGATGACAACAACCCAGGTTACACACAAAAGAAAAACAAAGAATACAACATTTAACTGAAACTTCTTCAGAAATACTATGTAAAATAAATTGAAAACAAATAACGAACAATATCGCATAAATTATGTCCATATAAAAATATAAAATACCGGTCTTTAAGTTACAAAGTTTACAACAGGATGATCAACGAAAAGAAATGGATGGTATCTTTCGACAGCTTGATGGCTTTAGTTTTAAATGGTAGTTTTATTGCAGCTTCCTAAGATAACCGTAAAGCTATAATAAAGAAGCACCCTTTCCTTTATTCGCTACCATCCCTCTCCCTTTGTTGAGGTGAACTGCCGCCACAGTAAAAAGCGAGGACGTGCGGGAGAGGAAATAAAACGACCGGTCGGTAGGCGCCAAGGCGCCTGGCGTCGCGACGCTACACGAAACGGCGCCAAAATGGATAGTGAAAGCGAATGTTGCCGGGAATACACGATATTAATCCTTGTTCTGGAACAGACACGAAGATAAACCGCGAACTCTATTAATAATTACTTTAAATTTTTTAGAATTTCCTAGTACATTAATATCAAATTTATCTACATCGTGTTAATTTTCGGGAACGATTAATCCAAAACAAAAATCTGGGCTTGTATCAACCCCATGTCTTGGTTAATGACTGGTAGAAATCATGCATCTACATCAGACTATCCAATCCAGAAATATTCCCGATCTAATAAAAAAAGAGGAAGGTACAATAAGTTCAAATTAGGTCCACTTGAGACGGGGTGAATTGGATAATCCGACACAACCATTCCTACAGCAAAGACATTGAGGGTCGATACAATTCAAAATCGTGCTGGCAACATTTCGACTTCTAGAATTACGTTTATCAAAGTGATTCTCGTTAAGAGATGATCTTCAAAACTAATTATTACAATATAAAACAAAGAAAAATTGTTATGGCGCCACTACTTCTAATTTCGACATGGATTTCTGTTGGTTTTAATCCATAAAAAGATACGGAAATGTAAGGCACGATTGGGGTGTGTGTGAAAGGAAGGAACGTGTGGGTGTTTTGGGTAGGTACGTGAAGAAGCGACGTGAATACCTGGTGAAAGTTACAAAACGAATTAATTGAAATTCAAAAATTAATAATTACTAATTTAATGTATTGTAATACAATTAAAAACTTCTTCAGTTAAATTTTGAAATCTTTGTAATTCTTTTNAGGGAAGGGAAGGGAAGGGAAGGGAAGGGAAGGGAAGAAAGAAAGAAAGAAAGAAAGAGAGAAGGAGATCGTCTTGTTGATGTACAATAGTATGTATATATATCACACGTGTGATATATATATAATTGTATATATACACATCAACAAGACGATCTCCTTCTCTCTATCATATTTATCCTTCCTTCTCCCCCCTCCCCTTCCACCCACCCAGCCTCCACCTCTCTCCACGTACCCTCCCCTCGCATCCACCCCATTCGCACCACGTGCATCACCTCCCTCACTTCACACACAGAAGCCACACTCGGAGCACACCGTTCAACTGGAAACCCCGATTGGGGTTCAGTTGAACGGTGTGTTCTTTGTGTGGTTTCTGTGTGTGGACTGGGTAGGTGATGTGTGGCGTGATTGGGGTGGGTACGTGAGGAAGGAGGTGGCGGGATGGAGGTTGGGTGGACGGGGGGTTTGTGAGAGTACCCTTCCCCTCCTAACCACTCCATTCGCGCCACACTCATCACCACCCCGCAGTTTATACACAGAAGTCACACTCCGAGCACAGCATTCAACTGAAGCCCCTTCAGTCGAAGGGGTTTCAGATGAATGGTGTGTTCTTTGTGTGGTTTCTGTGTGTAAACTGGGTGGGTGATGTGCGTGGCGTGATTGGAGTGGGTATTTGAAGAAGGGATGTGTGTGTGGTGTGTAATCATGCAAGTACTTTTTGTTATAGTTTGCTTGCTAAACAAGTTTCGTTTGCAGATTTCCCTTTACCTATTTGTTTTTTTTTTCTTTACAGATATCCAATGGCCTAGAAGAGGAAACGAAAAATATGAGCAAATAAAATTGCCATTGTAGTTATTGAACATAAAATGTACCTATTAAATTAAATGACAATGTATTGTTGTACAAATAAATTGTTTATTATTTAAATGTGTTTTAGTTAAATGTGTTTTAATTTGCCTAGTGAAAATTACAAAGGGAATGAACTAAAATTTATAAAAATAATAATTAGTAAAGTGTTTTTATACAAGGTGTGTGCTAAAAATAAGTTAAGTGTAGTGTTGAAACGTGTTAATTACAAAATGTAAGGTAGGTACGTGAAGAAGGGATGTAAAGACCTGGTGAAAGTTACATAGTGAATTGACTGAAATTCAAAAATTAATAATTACTAATTTAATGTATTGTAATACAATTAAAAACTTCTTCAGTTAAATTTTGAAATCTTTGTAATTCTTTTATGTGTAAATAGGGTGAGTGAAATGTGTGGCACGATTGGGGTGTGTACGTAAGGAAGAAACGTGTGGGTGGTTTGGGTAAGTACGTAAAGAAGGGATGTAAATACCTGATGAAAGTTACAATGTGAATTGACTGAAATTCAAAAATTAATAATTACTAATTTAATGTATTGTAATACAATTAAAAACTTCTT